TTTTAGTGGAGCTTTGAGTATACTCCTTGCCATTAATGCATCGGAAAGCATTTGTAGGAAGAATGAACTCAACATACACATTATAGGGGCCAGTAACTATGAACAAAGTATCCTGATGTCTATAGAAATAGTGTTTCATAGGTTATCGCATTTAAATAAATTGAATTTAACATTAATAGGACCAGAACTTTGTGAAAACTATTTAGAACCAGTACTCTGTGAAAAGTGTAACATGAAAAATTTGATCGTCAATAAAGAAAAGAGATTTTACCACCAATATATTAAACACAGTGCACATACGATGAATCCTGATCTAATATTTTCATATAATTGTGGATTTAGTGAAGTTATGAACTCATATGAAAATTCGTGGCTGGAGTCTATTAAGGAGGTATGGAATATGAAACAGGTTTTATTTGCATTTACTTCATACACTGAATCAGAATCCAAAGCAGATTTCTCTTTAGTGATGGATAACAAACCAGACATGAAAGGTGATGTTGAGTTGCTCATGGTTTCTTGTCAGAATCCATTTAAATCGTTAAGGCCTTACCGTAATTGGGAGAGTTTTGAAAACACATTTTTTTATAACAATTATTTCATTGTTATGATTGAAATTAAATAATAATTTTCAATGTTTATTAAGTTAATAAAAAGGTTTGTAATTCTATGTATAAGTAATTGTTTTTCTTTATTTGTTCGTCCTTTTGTGATGAATTATATATAATTTAGAAGCGGAAGATTTTTATGAGGATTTAACTTCAAAGCATTTATACTGTTATAGTTATTTAAGTGTTAAATAATATCTAAACTGTGTTTTATGTAGCTCAATATTTGACTTGAGTGTTCTTGGTAAAGATCCAAGCCATTTGTATTGACATATGAATTTTGAGTTTAAAACAGAAGTGGGTAAAACTAGATCATTCCCTAAGATGCCTGATAGTTCCTCAAAAACTTAATGTTTCATTGATAAAATACAAAACATACATCCTTATGAATGAATCTGATCAATAGGATAGTTATTTTTGTAATGTATAATATCTCCATTAAAGTTGGACATAATAATCCTGCTATTTATTGTATTGAATCCCTTACCCTACCAACCTCCATTAAAATTTATTTCTATAAATCTTTAATCATGAAATTCTTTTAACTAACACTTGGTGCACAAAAAACTTAATATTATACTGCACTAGCTGATAGAAGGGAGAGGGCTTCGTGCTGAATCCCTCCCTACTCCAAATAGTTGAGGTTTTTTTCCCCCATTAGTTCAAATTTGTTTCTATGAGTAATCAGAGCCAAATATGTTCCATTTTTTAATTAGAACTCATATAATAATTCAGCTACTCAATAATAATAGGTAAATAGCTAGATATATAAAATTTTATCCCTGAAAGTATTATTGCCCCTGATATACCATTATTTAACTAAAAAGAAAAGAAAATGTCAGACCCCAAAAATTAAATCATGAATTTGGGATAGGTTTAGTAAAGTGCTTAAGTAATACATTTTTTTAACTTAATGAAATCCTGTTTATTATTTAAATTATTATACATGTTATTGTATATGATTCATCTAAAAGTTTGATGCTTATTAATTTACAATTAATTTTTATCTACTGTCAAAAAGATTATCTTGTACTGCAACAAGAAGTTTCAAACTCTAACTTAATTACCAGACAAAAATAAAGATTTGAGTTTTGATGATTACTGAACTAGTAAAAAAATCACTGAAACATGTTATAGAATTAAATTTGTTTTCTTTCTTAATACTTTTCACCAGGACCGGATGATTTACCGCTTCTTAAAAAGGAGTTTTGAATCACCCCTACTCAGAAGAAAAATAGAAACCTGTACCACTACAACCCATGAAAGGTCTTGGATTCAGTTTTTAGGGCAATGTTTCTTAGAAAACAGTTGTGCAAAGGGTGATTTGACAAAGATCACACTGTACCGCCAGGTTTTCTCCCTTAATTAAATAATTAATTAAGGGAATGAACTTAGTAGAGAGTGGGTAAGCCCCAGGAGGATCTCTCAGCCCTAAGGTCGATCCATGGCAGATGAAACAGAACAAATAATTTATCTGCCATCTGTCAGATTTGAACTTGGAAGTCAGTGCCCTACCCTTCTCAAAAACATAACAAAATTGAGACAAATAAATAAAATATGGCTTTAATAAAAGAATTTCAATATCACTGATCATTTTTTCAACCACTTTCTTTTGAAATTATTGAAACAAAGGATTGAGAATACAGTGTATTACCCTCATTATTATTATTACCCTCATTGAAAACAAAACAACTGTTTTTAATAATAATAAAAAAAATCTTGTTTAGATAACCAAGAGTAGAAACAACACACCTAGGTTTATGCATGATTTATATTTTACTAGCTCATTAGTCGTTGACAGGGTATAGTTAAATTAAATTAAATTGGACTTTTTTAGCCATTTTTATCAGTCTGTAGAAAATATTTTAAAACAAAATTTAGTAAATTCCAGACAATTTGTTTGCAGAAAATATTTTAAAACCAAATTTAAAAACCACAATTTGGTTCAATAAAAAGCAGTAGATCATTGCAATGGTTTAATATCAAAAGACAAAGGCGAGGCAAGTACCAAGTAACTGTAAAAAAAAAATTATAAAATCCAAAGAAATTCATGCCAAATCCAAATGTTATTCCAATAATTTGTTATCAAAATAGGAAGCCTAGTCAAATTCCAAGTAAACTGTAGAGATAAAATAAAAAAAAAAAACCCAAGGATGTTGGTACCAAATCGTTATCCAAATAATTCAATATACAAACCTGGATTGAATTCCAGTTTGTAATAATCACTCGAACAAATACGGTTTCAATAAATTATATCGAAACAGTAATTCAAGTCTATATCAATAATCAAAGCCTATTCCAATTCAAAAGTTCCCGTTGAGTTGTGATAATTTTTTCCATCAGTTTGAAGTTGAATAATAACACTTTTAAATGTGGCCCGCAGTAGAGTAGGTTGGGATGAGAATCGAAATAAGTAAGTGCCTAACCGGGATCTCTAGACAAATTACTCAAGAATTCATAACTTTGCTTGTATTCAATATTTTGTTTTCATTTAAAGCCTGTGTTTTAAGTCAAGTAAACCTAAATATAATGTCAAAAGTCTACCATTAGCCATTGCTGTGCTTGCTCAGTTTATCTGTATGGTTATGAAAATTTATTATTATTAATATTACATTAAATGAAACTATTGAATTATTAAAAATTGAAATTGAAGATATATTCAACAACTATTTTGTAACACCATGAAAATCAAAAGAAAGGTGTATGGGATGAAAGTATGGAATTTTAAGTTTTGAAGATGGGAATAATTTTCCCGAAACGTCAACTTAACATGTAAATCAACAGATAAACCAATTGTTGTATACCTGAAAGTTTTCATTGCCGAAAATAGAGAATATTACACAGCTTCCCAGCAAAAAAGAAGAATAAAAGAATTAACAATAAATCACTAACACTACACGCCAACTTAAAATAATTTATAGTAAACAACTGACACAATAGATAAGGGAAAAAATAACCATAAAATCGATAATGAACAAATACAATTAACTTTATTAATATACTCTTATTTAAAGAGATTTATTTAGTGAAGTTAAATATTTATATAAAAGTATAAACTAGACCACATACTAAGCTGGGACGGCTCAGAATGGGGTCCTCTATTATACATATTTTGCACTTCTGCTGACCCTGTGCTGCATTCAATCTGTGGCCGTCCTTATGGTCGACATTTTGTAGTTTAGTTTATTTTTAAATTATTCCTGAAATTTGTTTTATACTTACAAAATATTTCATCTAGATTAGTTTGTAACTAAGATGAGATTTGTTTGTAATTGGAAAACTAATTTATTCTCTGCTCCAAAGTTTAAAACATTAGAGGTACACCCAAAAAATAAAAAAAAATAGAAGAAATGGTATTGTTCCTTACATCAAGAAATAGAACTATACTAAGTTTTATAAAAATCTGAGATGGTGGGGTTTCAATAACATTTTTTTCTGGTTGATTTGTTATGAAATGATTACTAGGTTATGAAATAAACAGTTAAATTCTTTAATAGATTTTTATTCCAATACCTCTTTCCTTAAATACTGCTGTTTCATTTGATACAAAAATGACATATTCTAAGTATAGTAAGCAAAATAAATACTTTTTTCTACTTACGATATGAACTCATCAATCTCAAGCTCAAAACAATGCTGCAGACTTGCACTGTTCAACAAGAGGAAACAGAACATCAGAAGGAAAGGAAATTTATCAACTAAGTATTAATAACCTTTTGTCGCACTTTTTTGTTAATTGCACACTATTTCTTAAATATTTAAATTTATATTAGCTATTTCAAACAAAGGTTATTTCTCAATTTACTTTAATAGTATACAAATCAAATAATAAAATATAACACTAATGCTTTACATAGCAAATATAAATGATTAAGGTAACATCAATGACATTCATAAGTAATGTATTTTTCTATTCTTAAAATACTTAAATGAAATAACTGAAGCAAAAAAAATATATTATTCATTCTATTAATGCCATACATCAAGAAACGAAGACCATTACATATGAAATGCCTTATATAATCTTATAAAAATGAGCAATATATGTCAAAATTATTTAACAATAAAACACAATATAAAATAATTTTATGATTGAGACAGACAACATAATTATAATGACCTTTCAAATTAGAACCTACTTTTTTTTTTATTTCATGCATTTTTTAATTTTTAAAATATTTGATTAAAAACAGATAAAAAATCTAATTCTATAAAACAAAATCATTTATTCATATCTCTACTAGTTTTGAGATATTTTGCCAGTAATATTAACAATTATAAACTTTTCCTTATTTTATATTAAAAATATCAGTCATTTTCTAAAATGAAATCGTTCATGGTTTTTTTAGAACCCTAATGTCTCTCATAAGATGGGCACAGTCGTTGATCAGTTCAATCATCTCGGATTCGTTCATCGATGCCATCAAGTTCTGTGATAAGTGCCCTTTCCAGAATAACTCTCCCTTCTTTATATCTTTGATTTTCTTCTGTGGCAAATTCATAAATCCAGCCAAGCTTTGCACTACAGTTTTTGCAAGAGACGTCCCTGACCATGTGTCTTCCCGTGAGCATCACCCGGTCTTGCACTTTACTATAAAAAAAAGTATATATAATTATCAACCAGAACTAAAATAAATTATAATTAAAGATGGACATATTATTAATAATAATAATTATAATTTATTATAAACAAAGATGGGTGATAAAATGGGGATATGGTAGATGAGCACGTTGCAATTATTAAAAAAATAACAAAGTATTAACAATTAAAGTAAGAATTAATTACTATTTCCTGATAAAAAATTAACCTCTTGATTTACATCACTTCTTCCCACCAATTCAACAAGATAGGAATCTAAATAGTTTCATTTTATACATATATTTATTAAAAATAATAGTTCAAATGAAATGATTAAGAGATTTATAAAATTGGATTCATGAACCATTAGGTCTCACTTTTCCACTTCCATTGCTAGGTGTTAAACCCGTCTTGCTGTTAGAATAGCTTTCTATACACCACACATTTACCAAAACTTTAGTGTTAGTAAACCTAATATTGCTCCAAGAACCCTCAAAGAAAATTGAGGACAAATCAAAAGTAAGATCTCTAATCCGATAGATTGAGATTAATATTGTTAAAGTAGTTCAATTCATATATTTTATTTGAGAGGGTTTAGGTATTCTTTTTAAAAAAATGCTTGATTTTGTAAGACTTATTATAACTTCTATTCTCATAATTTGGGGTTGGAATCCTAGAACTTTCTAAAAAAAATCACAATATTCTGAAATAGTTAAGGACAATACTTTTTTACTTTGTGCAATTAATTTTTCATTGAAATCTTTTAACTGTCTCAGTGTTTTTTATTTCAAGTGAGAGTAATTTTTCGTGTTAATTCCAATATTCACTATTACTTACTATGATTTATCCCATAAATAGAAGTAGGTACCTGATTAATATAACAGGGTTAGCTTTCATTCTTTTTGAGTGTATAAACAATGCATATATACATTTTTTTAATATCGCTACTACAGAAAATAAATTCCAATTTTCTACTTGATCAACAAGATGATAATGATAACACAAAGTTAAAAAAATATTTAATTTTTGAGTAGTGCTGATTTTCTTTCCAGCTAATGATGTTTTTATTGTTAAAAAATAAATCCTTGATTATACATATGACATGTATATCTATCTACACATGTATTCTTTATAAATTAATTTTATTTATTTATAAGATATACATAATTGTGATAAATAAATTTTTTATTTACTACTGTATGAAACAAGTATAATACCAAGGAATATATATGATATCAAGGAGGACAGAACAAAACCCAAAAAAAAAAATCAAGCAAGAAAGAATATGAATTGAAACTATAAGCTATTTGATGCCATTCCAAATCAACAGTATGGGTTCAAACACCATCATTCCACTATTCAACAATGTTACCATCTAGTAGATTACATATCTTTCTTGTTGATTGCATATCTAAAAGATGGAGAATAAAAATGAATGAGTCCAGGAGCCAATATGTTTCATGTACAGTTCGACATGACTCTTGCCCTCAAGTATTTTTTAAAAATATCGCTAAACCGAACTCAAAAAAAGTAAGATATTTGGGTCTCTACTTGGACAAACATATCACATAAAATCTGACATGGACGTACCACATAAAACAAAAAAGAAAAGAACTTAATCAGTGATACAGACTTCTTTCTGGGCTACTTGAAATACGTTCTAAATTATCTGTGACTAATAAATTAATTATTTACTAAGTCCTCATTAAACCACTTTGGACATGTTGTATTGAGCTATGGGGAACAGTGATGACATCAAATATAAAAAGAATTCAGTCGTAAGTCCTCCGGAAAATTGTAGACGTCCCCTTATATGTTCCTAATCTTATGTTACACACTGACCTTGACATTCCTCTTATCACAGCAACGGCTACAGACTGTTAAAGTAATTTTCATGACAGGCTGACTCTAACTTCAAATCCACTAACTCAAGCTCTACATACTGCCACAAATCCAAATGATCCGCCCAGTAGACTACTGAGGCATAGGCCAAGAAACTTACTACATTGTGCTACTTTCTGTGTTATCTTATGCTTTTGTGTTTGTGTTATTATGCTATTTTATTTTTTAATTTCTTTTCTATTTTTTTTCCTTTACTAGTTGTGAAATTCATACATTAATTTAAAAATGCTTTCTGGCCAGAAGTAATTTTTGTTGCTTATGTACAAAAAAGTTATTCTTGAGACATATTCCCACAATTAAGTTTTCCTTCTGAAATTTCTTATATACATTCAAAGTAAAGAACACATTTTTGACTAGCATTGAACAACAAATCAACCAAGTATCAATTAGAACACTCTATATATGCAGCATTATTAGAGGCAACCTGTTTAGCAAAAAAGGATTGAGGCTCTTAATTTATTTAAGGTCTCTGAAAGAGTACTGTAATAGAAATAACACAAAGTATATAAGGACTGCAAGTTAATCTGGCTGGATCGATTTTGTTACAGAATTTTTTTTTTAAAAAGTCCAGGTGAACGCTTACTGAATTCATAGCTGTCTTTAGCTGTAAACAAACAGTTCAACTAAGGTTAAAGTCATTAGATAAATAAGACCCACTGCACTAATATAATTTTCTCGGTAATTTTATAAATCTTTTGAGGGCCAATCAGTATAGGGCTCGTTATCCTGCACAACCTGGATGATTATCCCTTCATATAGAAACAGTGCAAACGACCTGATATGTGTGGCACACACTTTAAATTACAATTTGATGGATACACCAAAATTTGGGGATTATATCAGTGATTAAGACTAAAAACTATATTTTTTATTCCAAATAGGAAATTCTCTAAAGCGATATTGTAAAAAAAATAAATTAAGAAATTCTTAATTTAGAAACTCTATTTCCGAAAATCACTGATTATTCCAGTAGTAATTAAAAATAATATCGAAACTTGAACAGGGTGCCTTGTAGAAAGAATTAAACTTAAAGGCTTGTTTTTTAAGAAAAAAAGGTTGATTAGGATTTGTTTTGGAGAGAGAAAATGATGTATTATTCAACGGGAAAACAGTATAAAATTTGTACTGTAAAAAACTAACTTTTTGTTTTCAACAATGGTAAAAAAAAAATTATTTTAATTTGCATTGGAATAAAATTGTGAAAAAAGCTTTTGATGAATTATTCTTAAACAATAATTAAGAAATGTAATTTTCACACCACGTTTTTTTAAAATTTAGGTTCATTTTTAGACAAAAATAATTGGACCTAAGGGAATAGATAGATATCTTAATTTCCATAAAAATCTATTAGATTATTTTAATTTTTGCCGACGTTTCGACCCACTTTGCAGGTCGTCTTCAGGGCTACAAAAGATACAAAACATGTTGAAAATAAAAAATAAATATAAGTATATATAAAATAAGAAGAAGTTGTCAGATACATAAATAAAAGATGGTAACAGAGATATAGTGGGTGACAATGTAGTTAAATTAATAATAAAACCTTATTTGACTAACTCCTTCTCATATTATATCAACGGTCAACCATCTCTACATCATTAAAAATCTATTAGGTTACACTTTGGAAATAAGTGACTAAGTTATATGTCCACATGTTTACCACAAATATGTTGACTGTATTCCTAGCCAGTGAGGTAATTTATTATACACATTCTATAATAAAATTATGTAATAAAGTTATAAAACCAAAAAAATCCTAGGTTATTATTAAATAACACACAATTATAAAATAAAATTCTTTAATACATTATTAATTCAATAACTTCCTTCCTTAAGTACTGTTATTTCATAAGATCCAAGAATGGAATATTTTAAAATAACTTAAAGAAAATATACACATTTTTTTTCACATACCATTTGAACTCACGAATAAAGAAAACAAAGGAAAGGAAATTTACCATCCAAGCATTAATAACCTTTCGTCACACTGTTTTTGTAAATTGTACACTATTCTTTAAATGTTAATATTTATAGTAATGGAGGTTATTATTAAATTCACTTTATTGGTGTATAAATCAAATAAAAAAATAAGATAAAACTAAAGTTTTGTAATGTGCATAAACATTAAAAAGGTAACATCGATTACATTCTTAAGTTAGGTATCAATACACTTAAATACAATTGAAAAACTATAAGTGATCAACAAATATTTTGATTCCACTTATGTTGGATATGAAGACAGAGAACTAGATATATTAAATATTAATATATTTCTACAAAAATGAGCAAATATAAAAAAATAATAATAAAAACCAGGGTATAAAAAAGTTATACGTAACTCAATTATAACTTTTTTTTATTTTATAAATATTTGATTAAAAACAGATAAAAAAATCTAACTGTACAAAACAAAAATATATATAAATATATACACATCTCTACTAATCTCTAAATATTTCATCAATAATATTGGAAATTATTAGTTTTCTAAACCTTAATATACACAATTAGCTTGTGTATCTAGAATCAAAAATAAATCTATAATTGGCAACAATTTCAAAAACTATATCAGAACTTATTAACTTTCCTTAATCTTAATATATAAAAGCAGCTCTTATTTTTTAAATAAAAAATAAATCGCTAGTTGGCAACAATGCAATACAGAATTAACATTCTTGATCAACCCAGTTATAAAAAAAAATGGATCACAACAAAAAAACATAAATGAAATTCTCATTGAACATCCAATTTATGTTTGTATTCTATACTAAAATATCAGTCACTTTCTAAAATGATATTGTTTTTTGTTTTTGTTTTAATTCAAATGTCATCTGTGATGTATCATAATGTCTATCATCAGATGCAAACAGTTGGTAATTAGTTCAATCATCACGGATTCGTTCATCGATGCCATCACTTTCTGTGATAAGTGCCCTTTCTAGAATAACTCTTCCTTCTTTATATCTTTGATTTTCTTCTGTGGCAAATTCATAAATCCAGCCAAGTTTTGCACTACAGTTTTTGCAAGAGACGTCCCTGACCATGTGTCTTCCCGTGAGCATCACACGATCTTGCACTTTGCTATAACAAAATTTTAATTATCTAACCAGAACTGAAACAGATTAATAAAAATGTACTATTAATTGAGATAAATAGACTTTCTAAAACCAAAAACATTTTTATTACTAATTAGTTGCTATTTCTCCTCCCACCATAAATAAAACAGCTAATTTAAAAAAAAAATTAAAGCAGCATTTGTTATGTATTTATTATAAATAAAATACTTTATTTGAGGCTGGGAGGGAGAGGGGAGGCAATCATGAGGAGGGAAGAGAGTCATTTGAAATGATTTTTATTAAATATCTCAATAAATAAATATTGCATTTTGTCAAAAACAATTCCTGAACTAAATTAATGGAGAATACATTCCATCTGTTGGAAGCATCCATTTTATTTTTACTTCCATTCTGGTGGCAGCTCATGTTTTTCTCATGAAAGAATATATCTGGCTACCTTGAAGAAATTTGGTGTAAATGGTCGAGTAAGGACCCCACAAATTGCTTACTTAATCATTATCACCAAGCATAAATCATCACTAATAGATGTAAGGTCTTACCGAGGAGCCAATATAGATTTGGAGCACTATCTCAGGATTTCTATGATTAGGGCTGAAATATCTATATCAAGAAGCCAATGTATCACTTCTGCGAGCAAATTTGGATCTCTAAGCTTAAAAAAGGACAAGTCCAAGTGAAATTCACTGAAGCTGTTAATGCAAAAATAAAAGGCATTAATAGAAGGGCAACATTTGAGGAAAAGTGGAAAATGTGAAGTAGCAATGGTCGATACTGCGAAAGAGGTAATAGGGAGCAAAATAAAAAGAATGAAAAAACATTGGTACAACGATAAATGCAAGGTAAACAAAGCCTACAAAATGATGATCCAAAAGAAATGGGGGCGGGGTAGCTGAATGGGCTAAAGTGTGTGCACAGCACCGCGAGTTGCCTGGCAACCGAATTACAGATTTGAGAAGATTTAAAAAGTACGAGTTCGTGTTCCGGTACCGGAGGGGATTTTAAATTCCCCGCCCTCACCCCCCGGCCCGGGAAGGCGAGGTAGGGAAGAACAAAAAAAAAAAGATCCAAAAGAAATGAGGTCGCGGTGGCCAAGTGTGTTGGAGCATTGCCCAGTCTAGTGCATCCTGGTGCATAGCGACGCCAGTTTGAATCCGGCCTGGGAGTGGTTGACTTTTATTTCGTGATGGACCCACAGAATGAAACTCGAATCCCCCCTCCTATGCCAGAAATGGTGGGTAAGGGATTATACAATAAAAAAAAAAAAAAATCCAAAAGATACATATTAGATGCTATGTAGAGGAATATCAAGCTAGAAAAAGAAGAGAAACTCATATTCGCAGACAAAAAAAACCTGCAGTGGGAAAACAAAACCTTAGCAGACAAGGACAAAAATAGCAGGGTCTTCTTTCAAATGATTAATGAGGGATCCCAAACATTCAACCCCAAGAATCGTGCTTGCAAAGATAAGGACGAATCTCTGATCACAGAGGAAGCTGCTATTAAGGAGAAATGGGTTTCTCACCTTCAAAATCTGCTGGATGAGGGAAAACAAGACATCCTGGATCCAATTATTCTTAGAGAGGAATGCTGGCGACACCATTGAACCTCCCGATGAATAGAAAATATCGGATGCTATTGAGAAGTCAAAGAATAAGAAGACACCAGGAATTGATAATATACCGGCTGAGCTGTTTAAACAAAGTGAAAGTGAAATTATAAAATTTTTGTAGATATTTGGAGAGAGATTACCACATGAATGGAAGAAGACAGTGATTTGTCCTATTCATAAGATAGGAGATGTACACACATGCAGTAATTACAGAGAGATCTCACTTCTCCTAAGTGTATATAAGATATTTTCCATTATTTTATTTAACAGGCACCTTCCAGATGCCGAACGCGAACTGAGAAAAAATTTATCTGGGTTTCTGAAAAGGCAAGTCAACCACCGATCCAATTTTCACTCTATGCACCTTACAGAAAACAAGGAAATATCAGATTCCAATACATCATATTTTTATAGATTTTCCACAAGTATATGACTCTGTCAACAGAGATGAGGCTTACTAAGTGATGATGGGCATGAATATTGCTTTAAAACTGGTTCATCTTGTGAGGATGACAATGGAAGGCATTATATGCTTCATAAAGATGAATGGGAAACTCTCGAGAGGATTTTCTACTGATAAGGAAGTCAGACAAGGAGATAGCCTTGCTTGTCGAGTATTTAACCTATCTCTGGAGAAAGTTATAAGAGATTCAGGCATCCAGACAACTGGGACCTTAATAAACAAGACAGTACAGATTCTTAAATATGTAGATGAATTAGACTTAATTGGAAGATCTTTCTGAATGAAGAAAAGATGAAATTTATGTGCACTCTACCTCAGTGTGAAAATGTTGAGAGAACAAAATGGGCTTGTTGGGAAAGTATGATTTGAAAGAGTTCAATCATTTGTCTATCTAGAAACCCAAGTAAACTCGAAATAATTTGAAGGAAGAAATACTAAGGCGTGTACTTCTAGCGAACCACTCATATTTCACCCTCCAGAAGCAGTTAAAAAATAATACATTATGTAGGGATGAAAAAACAAGAATTTATAAGACAAATATCCGGCCAGTCCCTACATATGGCTTAGAGTGTTGGACAGTGACAAAATCAGAGGACAGGGCCTTCTCAAGTTTGAGAACAAGATGCTAAGAAGAATATACGGTGGTATTTATGAACAAGGCATGTGGAGAAGAAGGAATAATGCCAAATTAAGAGCCATATATGGAGATCCTGATGTACACAGCTTAATTAAATTATCAAGGCTTTGTTGTGCAGGCCATGTAGCAAGGACGAAACGAAATGAAATTCCACATAAAGCTTTTTCAAAGCGTGAATATGGTACTAGAAGAGTTGGATGTCCTAACCTGGGCTAGGAGGGCGGAGTGATTACTGATGCACTGATGCAATGTCCCTGCTTGGTGTCCGGAACTGGAAGGTAGCAACAGGAAATCGAGAAGAATGGCGATCTATGATAGAGCAGGCTTTGACTCAACAAGTGGGTCGTAATGCCACCTAATATAATATATATAAATTCTTTCTATAAAATATTCTGTTTATTCATGTGTTTTCCTATAGGCTATAATTTTAGTTAGAGTGAAACTAGAAAAATACTGATTCTGAAAAGGAGTAGTCATGTATATATGTATAGGAAAAGGGTTTATCTACTTCAAGAAGCTACAAACAATGTGTTGCTAACACGGAATATTAGAACCATGGAAGAAGCTAAGAGCCTTTATGGATACAGTAAATTTCCATTTGAAGTTCATTCTCCTTTTTATTTTCATTGTTCAGATCTTCATAGGCTGACAGAGACAAAGGTCAAGTGGCATTGGATGGAATGTGAGAAGAATGAACTTAATTGCGAAATAGTGTGACATGCTACTGTAGAATTGTTTTTAGGACATAGAGTTCCAGTCCTGCTGGATCGTGTGAAGCAAAAATTCAAACAAACTACTAAGGGGAGTATTCGGAAGGACTATCACCAAAAGAAAGCCAAAACTCGTCAGTAGTACTGAAGAGGTCTTTGGACCTTTCTTGAACAGTCCTAGTCTATGGCAAGGAGGAGAGGAAACCTGCCGATCTACTGGAGAGTCAAGAAGGAACAATCAACAACTACCCACTTGCTTAATGCTGCTTCATAACGGAAATGAACTGTGGTATCTCTATCGTAGTATGGTATTACTGAGGTTACTAACTGTTTTTTTACTCATTGAACAAATAAAAATATTTTTCAGAAATATTAAATAAATTTCTTGTTTCATAAACTTTAGTTTCAATATTCATAGGTGTCAACTTCACTTACAATCCACCAATGTATTTGACTAAATATGAAAGTAAATTATGGTTCTTAGGGTGGTGGATAGAATTATAACAGTTGTTGGGATTTGAAAAAGTTGGTTATAATTTTTTTTAAAATTAGAAATAAGTTAACTTTTTTAAATTTTAAATTAAGTATACATAAATGTATAAAAGAACCAAAAAAAACCCACCCCTAATTTGAGAAGTGCCTCTTTGGGTCGAGGCCAGTGACATTTGCCACCTTCTGTACACATTTATGGTCTCGTAAGGAAATAAATTATATAGCTAAAGAATAAATAAAAACAGAAAGCTGTCATGGAAGTTACATTTACCAACTAACAGTATAACAGAAATGATAAAAATTACTTACCTTTTCTTGTAATATATTTATGTAAAGGCCAACATAAATCTAACAAGAAAACAACGAAATGATTAATTACTCAAATGTTATGGCACTGAAAATGCTTATTCAATGTTGGCATATCACGAACTCAGAGACCAAAAGAAGAGAGAAGATCAATTAAATTGAGGAGTGTTTTTTCGACATTGGTGGGCACTTTTTCACAAAATTCTCTTTACTTACTCTTTCACCATGGACTTTCGGATTCACCACAGAAATTATACATTAAATGTGGAACAAGAATATGCCTGATTTAGTACATTTTTATTAATATTCATCAGAAAAATTTGTAACATTTACACTCAACCAATATCCCACATTCAGGAGAAGAAATTTTGTCTATATCTAAGGCCTGCTCATTTATTTGCTATAAAGAAAATTATTGAAAACTGATGGTGGGACAGCCACAGAAGTTATGATTTTCGGGTTAAACAAATAATTTTACTATGAAAAAACATGAAAAATTTCATGCATGATAGTGCATTAAAGGATAATACTGTTAATTATTATTAAGATAAAAGATTATAATCAATATTAAGATAAACTGAAATAAAATATTTTGATGTTATATGTTACATGACGTTGAATATGAACTTCTCCGTAGTTTTGGAATTGCTAAATAAGTTTAATTAAACATTTAATTTTTATTTTCACTTAAATAATTTGATTAAAATAGAGTATATTGGTTTTCATAGATGATTTTTTTTTATTTCTAAAATTTCATCCGATTTTGTAGACATAGATTTATAGAGAC